CTTCTTCTTCGTCAGTTATCATCACATCCAATATAGATCTATGGTTAAATGACCTTTTATACTTAGCTGCTTATCATTTTGTTACGGATGGTTTATTAAAACCTATTTTGAAATCGGAATCAGAGATACTGTATAATAAACGTCAGGCTGAACGTGAGCATTTTCTTGCTTTGATCAAAGATCATTGTGATACACTATGTACTACTAATAATAATTCCAATGTTACTAATCCAACTACTACCGGTGCAACAAAGGATATCAGTAGTAGTAGTAGTAGTAACAATAATAAGCCATTTTTCAACAATAATATAAAAATTAATGCTGAAAATTCCTCTATATTTCATCAGTTATATACAATAATTAAAAAACAAGTATCTGACAATTCATCATAGATCAAATTTATGGCTGTGCTGTCCGGTTTTTTTTTTAAACAACAAACAAACTGAATCTCAATATTTATTACACATTTATTTTTTTCCATGTTTATAACTTTAATTTCATCATATTTAATGTAGTAATAGTTACAATAATAGTTATAATAATAATATTGTATTGATTTACTAGTGTATGTTTGTATTTTGATACCTACTTACTTCGTGATCGACATGTGAGTACATATGATTGGGATTGGATCAGAATGCATAATGTCAAAATTGAACTTTATTATTTTCATATTCATACTAATACTACGAATAATAATACACTTTATGATATCAGCACTTAATTGACCATATTTTTGTTATCATTATCATTTTTGTTTACTGTTATCGTTGTTGTCAATGTGGTTATTTTTCACGAATACTTCTGTACTGATCGTGTGTGTCTTCTTTCAATTCATTTTGTTTGGCTTCAATGGATTGTCATGTGTTTTTTTCGACCGGTCATTATTGAATATGTATTTAACTATCTGTCAATATGAATTACTGGATATATGTTAATGTTTCTCTGTTAATAAAAACGATTTACTGAGAGAAAGTGATTAGTTTATGAAATTTATTTTTATGTGTAGTATTTATATGTGTGATCTTATAAATAACTGTTCATCATGAGTGAACGGAAATATTTTCGATGGATTTCTTTGATGTTCCATTCTTGAAAATTCTATGTATTTCAGTTTCATAGCTTGATTCGAATGGTGTTGACAAGAATTTACTACTCAGTCTTGTGGTAATAATGATGTATTGAACACTACTATCTGGAAATGAAAATCGACATTTTCCAACAATGCTGCAGAATAGCTCCTTTAGGTTATAAATTGGATCGAATTTTAAAATACTAAGCATTAGATACCAGTATTGTGTTTTAGTTGGAGGTGTATATTAATAAGCAGTTTAAAATTAGAATTATGCCATCATTTCATGCTTATTACTCTTCAATGATTTATCGTTTATTTCAGTTTGTCGCACTTAACAGTGGAATTCAATCTGTGTCGGATGTCAGATGGTTATCCACCACAAGCAATAGATAAGGATTGTACAAAAAAATTTGAGTTAGTTGAAACTAGGCACTTACACTTTCGGATCCAGACTCAGTGACCTAGATGTTAGGTGCTCGCGCGCGAGGCAGTAGATCCTGGATGTGGTTCTAGCGTGCAGTCGCGAATGTGCTCTGCTGAGGAGTTCTATACCACTGTTTAATCCAGTGCTTTCAGGTTTTTAATAGTGGTTTAGCTAATATCAGTACTTGATTTAAGCTTGGAAAATCCACCAATTATCTATGCTAATAAGAATCATTGTGTCTAGCAGTTTCATTGTCCTAATATCGTTATATCTCCAGACAAAATAAAACCAATAAAGTTGTCGATCTAAAGTACACAACCTTGCTGAATTCTTTAAGCTGCCAACTGAAAGCGTATCCTCATGGAAATCCGTATGCAACTAGTATTTTAGTACATGTTCTAATTGTCTATGGGGAACCGAATGTTTATTTTCCACATCTATTAATAAGGTCTCCCGATTATGTTTATATAGCGCAAATATATCACATAATAACCTTTGTCTTCTGATTGTATTATCTAAATTTATCAAAAAGACTAATTGTTTTAAAAATACTTTCGTTAATAATCATTATCTATTTATGCATTATTTCAGATAAGATAATGGTGATTGTTGGGAATCACTATGCTTTGATAACTAGGGATCAAGCTAAATGGAACAGAATGACTGTTAAACAGTAAACACAGGGTGGTTTATTTTTTTGCCTCTATCGATCGGTTTTAAGTACATAAACATTGAAAGATAGCGATTTGTTTAAATCCTTTATTAATAAGTGTTCAAATTGTCCAGATGCACACTTTTTGTTCTCTAAAATAAATTCTTCTATTGGTTATAAACCATTTTTAGCTACCATCTGATCAGTTGAGTTCAGTGGAGGCCATTTAGTTTTGATTGTATGTCAAATTTTCATATATATTTTTTATTTGAAAATTATTTGATTCGAAAGTGGTCTAGGTCGTTTCAATAGTTTAGGATAAAAAAATTCTTCAAGTTACTTTAGATCAGTGAATAAGAGTTAAGGTATTATTAGAACTCTATAGTAGCCAAAATTTGTAGTTTATGTTCTTATGACATATAGCAACTGACCATTAGTTGTCTGAAGAACGACAGATATTATGGTATCATCGTGAACGTTTCGCGACCGATAAAGGCATGATACGTTGGTATTATCATTAGATTCAAATCGAGTCCCATAAATTGGCACAAAAACTAACTCATTTTTTTGTAACATCGAAACAAACAACATACAGTAAACTATTCTTCAAATTATTTTAATCTACAGGTGCTAGTAGAAGGCACTTCAGGTTATGCAGCTGATATTCATATAATCCTCTAATTGAAATTATTTGACTTCCCAGTTTATCATGGTTCGCCGGATTTCATCCATTTAAATGAACACATTATTTACCTAGGTGATTTGGCTGAAAAAAATACGTTTTTGTTGCGTATTGACGTCATCCTTTGGATGCGGCCGTTTACGAAATCAGGGTTCAACAGTATCTTCTACATTAAATTTTTTGGTGCCTGAAACCAACAGGGGCTTGGAACGTTACGACCTCTGCATCAGCTGATTTTCTCACCCATGTGTTGTTTTCGTAAGCTAAGGAATTGCATTGATTATTATTGTGCAAATGGCAATCCAGTATTCTTTCGTCGAAAATGAATCCTGGACAAGTACATCTCACTGAAGACTTGCAGAAATAATCCTCTAAAATTCTTCGAATTATATTCGCTAAGGCCAATTCCCCGTTTATTTTTGCTGCTATCTGACCATTTCTTCAGCATACAAATTTGAAGTACGGTTTCTGATCTCGATGGATATAGAAATTACGAACAGTGAAACGATAATACGTTTTTTGAGTGTTTTTTTAACTCCCATTGAGGGAAATGTCACTTTAATAACACACAAGGATAGTTTTTTCGTATTTATAACCTCATTCAGAAAGGAATCTAAACTCGTGTCAGCTCGATTATTATAACTCATTTTTACGATAAAGGTAATTATCCCAGAAACAATTGCCTTTATATTAATCTTAAAACGATAATAACCATTAATAGTGTTTTAGATTATTAATATTGTTAAATAAAAAGTTTCAGGAATATGTAGGGGGAGGGTATGGAAAGTTTTTCACTTATGATGGTGTGGGTATGAATGAATCACTGTGACGCTATTTTCTTTCCCATGATAACGGTTAGGTGTCCACTTACCCTATTGTAATAAGACGACTTTTTATGATCACTGGTGAATCAAACTGCTTGTCATGGTGGCTTGTTCAGACTTCTGAGTTACTTGTTTTCAAGCTTTACAGACATCTCCATGAATAATTCGGTTTAATGACCAGCCACAATTTTCACGTATCCATTCAGACGAACTTAAAGTGTAGATCCATACAATTTATAGGAGTTTACTCCGTCTTAACATAAAGTGATATTGGAAATTAGTTAATCTGATGAAATACAATGTAAAATAATGTTCTGTGACTGAAGTCCGAGTGAAACATCATCTCAACTCGAGTTATGTTTTTCAAGTAGTAAATTTCTAGGCTAAATGGTGTTAACTTGAATCCTGCTACAAAAAGTGTACTTATGTTCCGAACATCCAACCACACATAAGCAATCTTGTGAGATAAGATCAACTATAAAACGAAACATACGTTCTGTACTCAACTACCAGACACTATCCATAATACGAACACTAGTCGTGGCTTAGTAGTTACTAATTAGTGTCAGAATAACATTTATTAGTTGTTACATTCATGAACCTCTGAATGAGCACCAGTGACTTTGAATTTACTGAAGAATCTTACCAAGAATTCTATCAAGCCTCACGTTGACTTTATTTCATTTGACTAACTTGGATAAATAATTGTTTTAGGCTTATTTCGGTATCTGACACATTCGTTTTATCTTTATCAGGTTATAGTGGAAGTGGTATGTATTGGGTTGCCTTAAAGTAACCTAAAAGATAAGATGTCGAATTTTTCAATGTTTACACTCATTTTTCTGTATTATAAAAGTTAATGACACAATAAATGCTAAACTTTGTGTTATACACAATTTCCTCTGATTTTCTATTCCACACTACCATTTATTCCTTTTTTGTTACCATATTTGGCAACTTTTAAGTGCCCTTGATCGAAAGATTAATTTTTATCTTATTTTATGTCTGACCAGATCATTATAATACTTCAGTCTGATGGTCAGGCAAAATTCCATTCATCCAACCCTTGACAAAGGTCAACAGACGTCATTTGTAATTATGAGTCATACATGATCAGCTGATATGGCTTAAGTGTCGAGCGCATCATATCACACACATGTCTAGTATAATGTATTTCTATTTGGTCAGAGTTTAACCAATGGGCTAAATGCAAATGGCGTGACAAATGAAGGCTTTCTGGCTCATCGATAGGTCAACTGTTTATTAGTCAGTCAAGGTCAGTCGTATGTGTATATGATTAAAGAAAGAAACAATCTTTATTCATTTCACTCGTGTCTCATGCCATGTCTGGCCATATTAGTGGTTTGTTGGATTACGATATGAATCCTGTTACAGCACAGTATATTTTATTTACCTCATTACAAAAACTTGATCAAGCTAAACGTTCTCGTGGAGGTATTAGACTGCGTCATAGTCTTATGATCACTGTAACTGCACTGAAAGCTAAACAACTTTTATGGGGTCAAAATCAATCAGTTCACGAAAATGAATACCTGTCAAAACCTCATTTACGTGATGACGAATATGAGACTGTTCACTTGGCATGTCATGTGTATGATCAGCCAGTTTCAAATCAAGGACTTAATGAGTTCTCCTATCTCCGCGACCCAAGTAAGCTCTCCTTTTTACTTATATGTTTACGATATATACATGTTTGGGTTTTTGTATCTCGCTTCATTTTGTGTTATATGAAATAAACAGTAGTAGCTTGTTCATTTCTTTAAACACAAACATTGGTACAAGGAGGCACCAAATAGATATGCGCCACACAGATCATTCGATTTGTGTGTGGGCTGTGATACTGCCTGGGTACCCAGACCGAAGCATGTGGTTTTCTTAGGGACCCACACCTCAAGCCTTTTGACCTAAAGATCTGACCCACAAGACAGTGGAGCACCGTGAGGAGATGCAGTCCCATGGTAGCCGGTGACCAACGATTGGTTCATACGCCATTTGTTCCCGCACGATACTTAGGCCCACGTGCACCATTGGTTTGGGATCCATTTAAAACGCCAGACATCCGCTTTTCGTCCTCTCATTTTCGTAAATAACACCCCTGCCACGAGTAGGCAGTGAGTAGGAATTCCCTGGCAGAGGCTGTATACGCGTGGCCGTTTGAGAGCATTTCGAGGCGGAGGGTGGGCCCACTCCATTCTCGATCATAGCAGGGCATTTGGGGGCAACTTGTTATGTGAGTGAATATATTTCACATCTCAATGTTCCTTACAAGAAATTGAATTCCCTTTCTTGAATATGCTTTTCCACTATTCAGACCGTAAACTAATATTTTGTTTTATATAATTAAAACATCAATAATGTTAGTCTTATATGTTATCATCATTATGTTAGATTTTAAATTCCTTTGTTGTATGGTCTAAATTAGGTCATTTAATGTGACCTTAGTGACCTTTCTAGAGTGAATATCTTAATTTGTCTTTGATGATTCATCAAATGCATTTTTATTTTAGATCATAGTTGTGGTTTAATGAGTTAGATACTTGTTTATCTTCGGTCATTGAGTCTCAGGTTCTAATATCAATATCACTTGGGATCTAAGTGATCGAATATTACCATCACATAAATGAATGTGGCACAAAATTAGGTACTTGATTATTGAGTTCTAGATAAAATGTGTATGTGTTTGTTTATAAAGTTTTCCGCGCACCATGTAATTCTTGCGTAATTTAATGTAAGCGGTGACATAGTGGCTGAAAAAAATAACCTTTCAACCAGTAGATTGCACATTCAAACTTCGTAACAGCTTGAGTCCGGTCAAACAGCAACACTGACCCTCACAAACAGTTTCTCAACGTGGTGTGCACAAACATGTACTTCGTTAATGAGTTACAGGATTTTGTAATAATTAAGCGATGTATGATCAATATATGCAGTACTAATTGTCTGTTTTCTATTATCACAAGTGGATAAACTACCAAGTTAGTGGGCAAAAACTCACTGCCTTCTCACAGCTGGGGTGTTGTTTACGAAATCGAGGGGAGGAAAAGAGAATGTCCGGCTCCTTACTCGGGTTAGTGGGTATGGAAAGTTCATTTTGGGGAGCTGGAAAACCTTGATTCCAAACCAATGGTGCACGAACCCTTTTGTGTTCATCAACCTACCATGTGACTGCATCTCCTAAAGTTGCCCAACTGCTTTGTGGATTAGACCTTTAGGTCAAAGGTTCGGGGTGTGGCTCCTAAGAAAACCACCTGATTCGGTTTGGGCTCCCAGGCAGTATCACAGCTCTCACACAAATCAAACGATTTATGTGGGGCATATCTATTTAGTGCATCATTGAACCAATGTTTTTGTGTTTAAATAATAAATGGCCAAATCAACCACACAGTAAAAGTCAGAATGACATATATCCATCCGGGTCATTTCTTACATCATCGTGATATTAGTCTGTTAGAAATCAGTTTTACGACGCGTCGTAAGAGCGGTTTCGCTCTACTGTTGAGAAGTCTGACATTCGAGTTGGGGATCATAACAGACCCGGTGTCTGATCTTCATTGGTTCGGAAGGATTGCTGACATTCAGTGGCGGCACGATGTTAGTAATAATGAGGTTTGACAATGCATGTTCGGTTTAAGCGGCGATAATTTAGTGTCAGGATCCTGAAACATCAGCTTCAGTTAGTAGCTTAGAGATGTTTCACGACTTCCTTCCCAAGGATTCCCACTGCTTGTATAGTCTGCCGACTGTGGCCGTGTGGAGAGAGCAGAAAGGCGATCATTTTCTGACATGGTGCCTCAATATTTGTAGGACTTGCATCTATCAGGTCAGCACGACGCCGTGCTGGGGGCCCTTTTATTTGTCTATTTATTTGAACACATAAGTATTGGTACAAGAGGGCACCAGGTATATATGGGCCCTAGATATAATGAAGCTCACTGGATTGAAAAATTGTAGTTTTCATTTACATGCTTTTTAATATTTAGGCGAGCTCTCAGCTAAAAACATTCTTCCTGAGTGTTTTGTTAACCGTCCTCCTATTATACACTATTCTTGTTCGCTTTGGTGATTTACTTATTCCTTCTCCTTCAATATAAACTTCCTTTATTTCTTCACAAAGTTATTTATTTTGCGTAGAGCGTATTGTTCTTGTTATTGAGGTATACTGGAATTCACGTGCATTAAATAAAATAAATAATTTGTCACGAGTTGGTTATCATCTAACCTCAGTTCTTGGACTGTTATATCTGTTTTTCATAGTAAAATAATTTGGTTGGTGAATATATCTGATGCCGAAGCATAACTAATTATAGAATAAATATCGGTAATTAAAATGAGAAAAGAAATGCACCTGAGATCATTCACTGAACAAAATTACGTATTGTAATTAAATTTCTTAATTCTGTGAACTTGATTGTTTCTGTACCATCTAACCTAATTTATACGTGTCACTCATAATTGAAATGGTTACACAATTAGTGTACTATGAAGAAACTCAGTACCCAATCTTCTATTGTTTATTTACATAACTTGTCCGAACTTATGTAATCCCAATAAACAGTTGTTGTTTGATTAAAGCTCATCTTTTCTGTACATTATGCATTAAACAAGCTGTCATCTCTGTTTTAGCAAGTTTGTTTGGTACTTGTATAAGTAATAATTGTTTCAAACAACAGGAAACTTTCTAATTGCCACTTTTACCAGGGTACTACTGTTCAATCTTTACTCAGTACTACCTTTTAATCCTTGAAATAGTGTCATAAAGTATACATTTTGACATATATATGTCATTTTCAAGTTTTCATATGAAATTTACTAATTCCTATCAATACTTTTACTCTATATCTCATACAATATGAGGTGACATCTCACGGGTTCTGTTGAACTGACGAGGTTAAAGTTAATTTAGTTGGACATGAACCCGTAAAACAATGATTGTTAATAGGTATGCAAATCACTATTTATCCTGTCCTACTCTAGAATAACAAAAAATGAATAACTTGGCTTCTCTAGTTTTTAAATTTAATAAGTATGATGTTTATATCTTGGTTACTAAGATTTTGAACAAGTTATTGGCTACATAGGCTCAGTAGCTTGTTGGATAACGCGTCGTGTTGAAAGCAAAAAGTACTGGGTTAGAATCCTAGTTCAAGTATCAACACTTGGATGAAAGCACATACATCTGATGAATCCAAAATCGAAATTAACACGTCGTGGATCCCACTACTAGCCACAATTAATCTAAAATGACTATCAATACAGTCTACATATTCCAAAAAAGATTGATCGAAATTCAGTCATTATCAACAATGGGACAACTCAAACCCTTCCTAATGATGATATAAATGTACTGTACAATCCATTGAATGCTAGCCATCAATCAATATAAGGATGTTTTTATCCATTTAAATTGTTACCGCTACAAATCTATGTGCTTATATTCGAAAGTAATCATTTTAAATTTTTCTATATATTTTCTGGTTTGTTAGCATCATTCCTTATTTTCATATTTCTTTTCAGATGAACCTTACTTTCCCCCACCAGTAGATGAAATGATGGAAGTCGACAGTACAGATTTAGTCAATACTCCATCTAAACGATTACGTCATGATTACACATTCTCTTCATCTCCTTCAGCAGTACCATCATACAATGAACCTTATCTAGTCAGTATTAAATAAACAAAAAAGATTTCCATCATAATGTTGATTTGAAAGGTTTACCTCCAATATTTTTTTCTGTGATACATTTTATAAAATAAGGACCTTGTTTTCCTTTAATCTTATACTCTGCCTTCAGTATCTATTTTCCTCTTCTCTGTTCGTATATTATATACAATACTTGTTTGCATATGCCAAAAAATAATTATCGGCTGTTTGTCAGCCAGAAAAGTAATTATGAACTCTTGAAATGCAGAGTATTATTTTCTAGTTGCCTCTCTTGTTGAATATAATGAAAACACTTTTCTGTACAATTCTCATCAAGTTCTTATTCTTTATTTGGGATATTTTATTCCAACATCTTTTTCTTCGATTAGATGACCATTGTACATATTTTTTTATTTGAATATCAAACAATTTATTATATATTTCTTAAACAAAAGTTGTTTTTTTTATTGTGAACAAGTTTACAATGGGGATTTGTGGGAATGTTATCTACTAGTTTACATTCTTGATATGTTGCTAAACCTTCCTGTTTTATTTTTTATTCACGTTATTGTATAGCTCATTACCATATCGATTCAATTGGATTAAATCAAAGTTAATATAAATGATTGACAGTATCTCATGCATGATGTCTTAACAATAGAATTAGCAAAGTTTTTACAACTTTTGTTTAACTGCTATCGGCTTTATTTTAAGAGAATTTCTATCTGTTTAGTTTAAGGCTTTATGAATAAATCTTGATATGATTCTGTAATTCAAAAAAAAGTCTTGATCAGTCCTATCGTGGGTGTTTTAAAATAACTGAATGAATTAATTAATAGTTTTCAGTCATATTCGTTCTACGTATTTCGTTGTTATTCCTTTAAAAACATGGTATATTGTAGCTGTTACTAATCTGAAAATACTTATTTCTGAATGTAAAATTATGGTATACACTGACACCCTTGAATTAGTCAATCAGCATTAAGGTAACTCCTTATGTATTTGCGCGAAATTTAAAGTACAGTGATAGATAAGTTGGATATTATTGTCGGGGAGATATAAAAAAACCCTCAAAAAAGGCTCCGACAACGCTGAGAAAAATTCTTTTCCAATCAACATTCAATAGAAGTTTTGCCAGAAACATCTAGGAAGTGGGAAGTCACATGTCGCGTTTCCGATTGGATGGTTACCTACACTGCTACTACGTTGAGTTTCGGAAGCCAAAGGTCATCTAAGATGATATAAAGACCTAAGTTTTCGTTACATAAAGGAACCTTTGGTGTAAAGCTTTTATTCCACATTTCGCGCCTTTTCTCTCGTATTCGAGTCGCCGTGTAGATTCAACCTGGGGGTTACTAGAAGAGCTTAGGAAACTTATTCAAGCGTTCAGTTAGAAGGTTTATTAATTATTACTAACCAAATGAAAACTGATTCTTAAAATGCTTGGAATCAATACAAATATCTATGATGCAACTATGTTCTGAATTGAATATAGTGCGTAAGCTAAGTGATAAAACGAAGCTGTTTCAAAGGAAGATTTTGTGTTAAATACCTTAACGTGATTCAATACATATTCATGAGTGCTTAACGAAGTTGGGTGATATTCTCCCTTTCAAACTCTTCACCTAAATCACAACCTTAAGTTAGTAAACAGAAGACTAACAAATCACCACATCATGACGGATGTCGGTTCGTTATAAAAACCCCAACCCTAATTCGTAAACCCAACACAAGTTCCAACCTTACTCTTAATGCTTAACTCTTTACATTATAACCGATGTCATGTGATGATAGCTATACAGGGTTTTAGTGGCTCGGGATTTGACTCCAGTGAGATCGTTTCTGATTGCTATTGAGATATACGTATCGTCAATCGACTTAGATCGCGTTAGTAAATAACGGAATTAAATGAATCAAATACGAGAATGCATTTTTCAATACAAATATTTTGCATAAACGTTGATCGGAACATATATTCAGAGACGTAGCGAAGAAGAGAGTGAAACGACGCGCAGTGGAGAATGTATGTGAGTCAACTCCATTTAACCAAGCGTTAATCACAATTTATAGTCACACAAAAATAAGCTACAGACATCTGGTGAGTAGGATCAAAGGTGTACCCACATAAGCTCATATAAAAACAGTCAAGGTTGATAAGTGAATAATTACCAAGGTCAAAATTTGACTCAAATAGAATGAAGAGATTGGCCTGTCCGAAAGCTAGAATAAGAATAATGTGAACAGAGAAACAAGAAGCCTTGACAAACTACGGAAGCTATTTTTCGGGACGTTATTTCATTTAATTCAAAGGTTGTAAAACTTCAACGTCTATTTTTGTTCCTGGTCTATTCTACGTATCATAAGCTTTTGTTTGATGTATGATTAACTGCAATAGCCCTTTTTTTCCAAAGCTTTTGTAATTTAAAAGTATTGTTTTGTGCTCTATTTCTCAACGCTAATCTCCAGTTTTGGACATAATTGTATTTTCCTAATTATTGTACGTTGTGGTCGGGTTAGTCATCTACTTATTCATGTGTCTTTTTACACCGATCGGAAATCGGGAACCAGATCGGAATTGTGAATAAGTTGAGCAGTGTTCCAGTTGATTTTTCTTCTCTCACTCATGTGCTTTTCAGACAATCAGGTGATAGAATAGTTTCCTCTCTACCCCACTTCGAACTCATGCGTACTAGCCTCAAGGTTAAGCCGGTCAGCCTATCACGTTAAGGTCTTAATCTAGATTAGACAAGTTATGCTCAGCACCAAAAGTGGGTTGACAGATCAAGGACGTAACAGTGGTGTAGGGGCTTAAAATAATAACCGAGACTACAGGGTGATAACCCCGACTCCTAACATTTTAAATGGAACGTTTCCCTTAACCACAAAGAATAGTTTGTGATGTGAGGGTTAATCATTCAAATTAAAGATGTTATTCTTCTGCTATTTTAGTTCTGATTATTTCGTAGCTATTCCACGTTTCCTGACTGACTAGTAAGTCTCCTAAGGTCGTCAAGACATACTTTTAACGAATAAGCTGGTCCGTTTGATCACTCTTAGATAACGTAACTAGGAGACAAAATTCATCAAAACCAATGCGATAAATTTCTATGACCATTACAAATTTATGGTTGCTAGTTGATGTAGTGTAGTTGCGTTTATTACCTGCTCTTGCTACAATATAGTTTTTAACTGATTATACTCACATTCCCCCTTCCCTAGATTAGAGATCTGTGGTCGGCGGCCTATGCCCCACAAGAGGTAGCAAGCATTATTGTATGTAAATATGTTCACATTTAATTCGCGCTAATTATGTTTCGTTATTAACCTGAATACAGTGTCCAAATGTATATTAACTACCATACCGGCATACAACAACAGTTTGCATGTTTAAAATTAAGGTATATTCTGAATTTTGGTCTCTCAGTTATGATTGCCATACTACCTACTGTGTTCTAATGGCCTTAAATTTAAGCCTTTTTTCAACAGAGTGTTACGGTACTAAGATTATAAATCTTAATGTCACGCATATTTTTTACAGGTTTGTGAAATCTGATGTGCATCAATTTTGCCGCCAAAGTTTCAACTAATTGCTTGACTTTATATTTTGTATTGTTAGATCCTTGACTAATCCTTGTTTAATTTGAAATGTTATAATTCCTAATTATTCAGCTGTCCCTTCTTTAATATTTTACTGAGGGATATTCGAAATTAAAAGTAACTTCCCGACTTCATGAATGCAAGGTATCGTACTTGCCAAGGGAGTCACGGTTTCATCACATCTATAGTTGTATTATTCTTCTTATTAGTTTTACTCAATATTATATCTTTAGTACGACATAGAATTTTCAGCTCAGTGTGATGCGGGCCACTAATGTAGTCAGATATGGGTATTATGTATCATCAATCAAAAGTAAAATACCTGGCAGCAAAATGTTAAGGAAATCTAAGAAAAGAGAACGAGAACTGAGAATAATTGGTGTGGAAACAAGGGAACAATGAAGTCTGAGACGATTGATTGACATTTTGTAAATGAAGTATTTACTGTATGGTTCTCAGATTTTACTAAGTAATTTTGTAGTTTTGTATTCAAATAAATTTGATTGTCCCCACTTGTGTTCTCGTTCACTACAAAAGTATTTTAAGAAGTTCCCTTATCTTATTTCTTGATCAATCCTGACAATAAATATTGAGTGATCGGCAGTTAGAAGTTAGCAGTCCAGTCAATCGGCATCTAAATAATGTACATTCTTTTCGATGTGTATTAACGGCAACCACAATATCTCTGATCGGGCCTTTTGTAACCTGTACAACGAAAGATTGTACACTTTTCAGAAACGCATATGAATAGGTTATGCGATTAATAGCCATAAGGACGTATTAAAATAAATAAATTAGATAACTTGTTGAAATATCTAGATGGCAGGAACAGGTAGTCCAGATGTTTAAGCAGGCCTCCATATTGTGGTTTCGTACAATCATCTAGTTGGTCTTAGAAATAAAAACTATCTTCAAGTAAATCAATTTCTATCCAACAGAACCTAAAATCCATGTTTCTCTTCGTCCAATGATCATCAGTTGACCGTGAATACATTTCCGATTGTGTACTTAATCCATTTAGTTTTAATCTAAATCTTATTATCTTCATTTTAGTATTGTTATTAACAGTATAATTAATGTGCATTTGACTATAGATATTGTCTTCTATCATTGAAACCAGTAATTTAGAATTAATGAAATTATCATTTTTACAAAACTAGACATGTAGTTACTGATACTTGACTTTGTGGACTTTATTACTCGAATACCTTTCATTATCGTTTTCTTCAAATGACAAATTTACAAACCGCTGAAAAATTCCCATTATATTAAAACACAATTAATATGGACGAAGAATATTCTTTTCACAATGAATTTCTCATCTGGTTCTACAATTCATAAATTCAAATTAACAATCCATAAAATTTTCCAGGTTTAAAGCAGAGTACATCATTTAAAATTGTAATATTTGATTTCAATAATTAAGATCATGAGTC